CGTCCAATCGGGAAATGAAATCTCGACTTCTCGGAGTCTCTGAATTGTTTTGTCGATTTCGTTGCTTTTGTTCGAGACTCGTCTAAATTAATTTGGCAACTTAACTTCTTTTAATCTTGTCCTTTCTTATTATGATTCATGAAATTGAAAGGGTGCAGCAGATGTGGTCATAATGTCTTGTATTTCGAAGCAACACGTCTGGAATATTTGATTTTGATACAATCTACTTATTCATGTGGCCTTCAGTGGCCATTTTTTGTTTTACAAGTTTTGGGTGTCAGTGTCATGATTTCTTGCTTTAGACTTTGCAACTAGAGTTTGTCATGAGTGCAAGTTAGTAGTTTTTTTTGTGCCTCTGTATAGGTTGTCTTGCTGGGAAATTGCTTTTATGTTGTTTGAGAGACTTTCATAAGCCTTTTATTTGATGCAGGAGTCACCGTTAGTTTCATACTGGCTGGAGTGTCATGTGTGTTAAATGCACTCTGCTATGCTGAGCTAGCTACCCGCTTTCCTCCTATTGTGGGTGGTGCATACTTGTATACATATACAGCTTTCAATGAACTCACTGCTTTTCTTGTTTTTGCACAATTGATGCTTGACTACCATATTGGGGCTGCCAGTATAGCACGGAGCTTAGCTGGTTATGTTGTTTCAATTCTAGAGATCTTTCCCTTTTTGAAAGATAATATTCCAAATTGGCTTGGAAACGGGCAAGAGTTCTTTGGAGGGGTAGTTTCTATTAATGTACTGGCTCCAGTTCTTCTAGCTCTATTGACCTTTATTCTTTGTTGGGGTGTTGGAGAGTCTTCTGCCATAAACTCCATCATGACAACGTTAAAGGTATTTTTCTATTCAACCTATTTATTTCTTGAAATACGATAGTACAAATTCTCATTCTTTCACAATGTATACAATACTTGTTATTGGAGAAAAGACAGGCAAAAATTAAGGAAAAACAAAACAAACTAACTACAATTTTAAACCTTGGTGATCCTTTTTTCTTTGCGGCCTTGCGGGTCTTGTTGGTGCTTAGCAAAGGACTTTGTTGTGTTTAGGTTTGTGGCAAAGAGAAATACTCGAGAGGTACCATTATTAGATCTGTGAGAGCTTTTTATAGTTTCATCAATGGCTTCAATCTTTTGATCTCCCTCTTGTAAATGCTAAATTTCCTCAGTCTAATACATGCGTTTGTGTTTTTTCTTGTAGTTTAAATAGGTTTTTTGTGTTCAAAAGGCTGAATGAACCATTTTGGAAATGTTAGAGATTAGTGTGTTTTGAACCACATATGATTGTTGGCCCATAAGTTTATGCGTTGGAGATGTTCCTTGGGACTTTGTTCCTTTAGTTTGGAAACGCTTGGCTTCGACGTCCTTTTTATAATCTTTATTATTGAGGGATTGGTGGCCTATATGAATGCAGATGGAAAGTGAAAGGGCTTCGACACCAGGCTTCAACATGTGGCTTGGGGACCTTGTCCCTTTTAAATTAAAAAAATATGCAGATTCAACATCCCATTTTGAATCTTGTTTGGGAGATTGGTGGAGTAGGAACATAGATGGAAAGTTGAAAGACTTGAGATTCATGGGGAACTTAAAAGGCTTGTAAACCCAAGCTAAAATATTGAAAAAAATGAGGATGTTTGGGTACCCAAAATTTACAAACAAGGGATTCTTTTTCTTTTTCTTTTTTTTTTTAAATATTTTTTTATTATTATTATTATAATTTTTTTTTTTAAAGACAAAAGAAAGGGGAAGCAAGCCCTAAGAACCAAAGGAGTTACATGAAACTTCTCCAATTGGTAAAAAATGAAACTATAAGAGTAATAGAGTAGAGATGATTTACACCAAGTGATAGCATGGGAAATGATATTATCATAGAGCCTATCAAAAGAGATCTCTTCATCGGTGAAGAGTCTATGATTTCTCTCATTCCAAGTGTTCGACAAAAAAGCCCTAATGATGTGCAGTCAAAGGAGATCCTTTTCCTTTTTGAAGGGGTGGCCGGTGAGAATGTAAGTAAGAAGGTCCTTGATGTAATAGGGTAAGACCACTTTCCTCCCGAAAGACAAAAGAGTCACATCCCAAAAATTGGAAACATAAGAGCAAGTGTGGAAGATGTGTGGTTGAGAATCCGCATTGTTTTTACAAAGAGCGCACCAATTCGGAGAGATGGCCATGTAAAGTAACCGGTGTTGCATTTTGTCACGAGTATTAACGGCCTTGTGTGCCAATTACCAAATGAAGAACTTGATCTTTTTTGGGTAAATGTCACCCCAAATGGACTGAGCGAGTGATGTGGGTAGAGAATTAAACCATGTGGGTAGAGAATTAAACCATCATGGGTGACTCATTGGTCCAAAGGGGCTAGGATTAATTAAGAGGGAATGAGTTTGTGAGGTATCTCCTCACTATTTCTATTACTTCAAGAACAAAGGAGCCCTCGGGCTTTACAAAACGCTAACCCACCTATTCGAGAGGGTGGGGAAACTCTCATTCGCTTGCTTAACAAGACAAACACAATGCACCCCAAAAGATAAAAACCTCCCTACAACATTCTCCCTACCTTATACCCTAACCGTACTCCCTAACAGCAGCTATTAACATTCTCTCTCCTGGCCGTTATGGCCTACACTCCCAACATTCCCGTTTTATCCTTCCTATGATATGTCTTGGTTATGAGGGGCCTAACAGAG